ATAAGCCTCCCACCCCTTAAGAGGCCAACCGGCAGCGCCCCAGCGCCCCTCCGCCTCCCCGGCTTTGCTCCCGGTGTCCCTGGTCTGCTGGAAACGGTCCCTGGTCTGCTGGGCTGCTGGGCTGCCCGAGCCCCTCCACGGCTTTGCTCCGCGTCTTCCTGGTCTGCAGACCAGGGAAATGCGGAGCAGCTTTTCTCACCCCGGAGTACACGGGCGGCGGGACCGCGAGGTGCCGCAGTCCGTGTCCTCCGGGGCGAGAAAAGCCCCGTTCGTACCTGCAAGTCGGGGACTGCCTGTATGTTTATACCCAGCGTATAATACGACCCTCGATTTTGGGGGATGTTTTTTAGTATAAAAAGTCGTCTTACTTACCGTATTTTCCGGCATATAACAAAATAGCCTCTTATTACCAAAGAGATCTATAAGTTCAAAGGGGTAGGAAAAGCCTAGCTGCTTGGAGATAATAAAGTACAGCAACTACTATCCACATACTCTCAATGTGCAGAGCAATCTTTCCAGTTGTCAGGAGTCCCGAGTACAGGACATATAATTTTGGTTAAAGGGCACCAGTGCCTCAGTCTCTGAGTTACCCTGATATATCCCTGACAGATTTAAAAATGCCACCACAATAGTTCCAGTGGAATTTTTGAATAGATTTCCTATCTTCTGGAGAAGCTCACATCCATCAATCTAGAGTCTGAAAGAGCAGCTAGTCTATCATGCAATATAGGGTATGTCTGCAGTGAGAGGATAGGAATAGGATCCTATTGCCATTAGCAGAACATTTGCTTAATGTAAAAACCACTCAAGTGGTTCAAGGAACTGGAGTAAGTTGAGATCTCATTTTATGATGACAATGGATGTCCCAGTGTTGCTTTACTAATTTAAGGCCCGGCAAAAGACTGATACGCTCTTAGATAGAGATGTAATGCACTTGTGATAGGGATACATCCATCTGGACCCTTACACTTTGCCATGGATTATTCTTGATCCCTGCATTTTGACAAGAAAGATTCTTACGCAAAATAATAGGAAGCCAGAAAAGAGAATCAGCATACATACCATGAAGTTCATAAGCCGAATCCCTACCAAGGTATCCCTGACAGGCATAGAATTCCATCAGGTTTTAGAGGCATTAAAATGACAAAAACCAAGAAGCATGCTTGACTGCAGCTCTCTTACCAGCAACTAGCAGGCTCCAACCTCTGCTCGTGTCTGCCCCGGCCACCGCCCCAAAGTGCCTTTTACTCCTAACTGGAGAGCCAGGAAGAGTTCTTCAGAGAGCCTGGAGCTTCCACTCCAACTCATCTGGTGAAATGGGTTTTACCCAAGGAAGCTCCTGACCTAATACAGGGTGGGGTATCTCAGGTCCGAGGACCAGATGTAGCCCTCGACTTGCCTGGATCCGGCCCCTGAGGCTCAGGGTTTCCCCCAAATTAGGGAGCCCATGCTGGTGCTTCAGTTTCCCTGCTGCCCCACCATAAGGCTGGAGCACACATCTACCAGGCTGGGCCCCCCTAGGCTCTGGTGTGGCAGGAGAATGTGGGGAGTGTCTTTCTCCTTCTCAGACAGGGGCCATGTCAGTGAGGGCTTGGGGGTTTTGTTTTGCTTCTGACTCGTGTGTGGCCTCTGATTTTTCTGTGGGTCAGTGGCTCATGACCCAAAAGGTTCCCCACCTCTGAGCTAATACATGTATTAGCCTCTGAGGCTGTGTCCAGACTCAGGGGTTTTTTCGAAAAAAGTAGCCTTTTTTCAAAAAAACTTCACCTGCGTCTAGATTGCAGCCGCGTTCTTTTGAAATTAAATCGAAAGAACGTGGCTTTTCTTTCGACGGCGGTAAACCTAATTCCACGAGGAAGAACGCCTTTTTTCGAAAGTGCTCTTTCGAAAAAAGGCGTTCTTGAAAGCAAACAGGGCTTTTTAGAAAGAGAGCATCCAGACTCACTTGCTTTCTTTCGAAAAAGCGGCTTCCTTTTTCGAAAGTTCCGTGTGCAGTCTGGACGCTCTCTTTCGAAAGAGGCTTGCAGTCTAGACATAGCCTAAGAAGCCACAAGACTGCTCATTGTTTCTAAAGTTACACACTAACACGGCTACCCCTCTGAGACGAAAGGCCAATTGAGAGCGAAGCGTCCCAGTCTATAAGAATGAGTGGCTATAGGGAGAGAAGGTGGAAATTGAGGAGAGGGAAAGAAGAAAGGGGAGGGAAGATGAGAAAGCAGGTCAGAAGAGAGAGCAGGATGGAGAACAACTTGACCTTATGGAAAAACTCTCTAGAACCTCTTCTGTCTTCCAAACTGCTATGCTTTTAGAATTCCTTGCATTTGCTCAGAGCCTGACCTGAATTTGGCCCTGTCATTTTACTCTGCCTGAAACACTCATGCGGTGGTAGGTGGTGAACATCTACACAGAAAAAAATAACCAACCAGGGTGTCATAGTTCAGGGTAACAGACTCAGGCTCACAGAGCTGACACTATGGAGGAGCAGTGTAAATAGTCTGGTACAGGCTCAAGCTAGGACTCCCAGATGCTCTTTCCTTATCAGATTGTTCGAGCGGGGCTCTACCCAGCTCAAACATGTGCTGCTTTTAGCCCTGCAGTGCCAGCTCCACAAGCCCAAGTCAGCCAACCTGGTTGTGGACACTTGCTGCTGCAGGCTAGTTTTTTGCTGTGTAAGTGTTCTCTCCTTCCCCACTGTGTCTGGTCTATTTAGACATTATCCCGTTGGTGCATTGTACTCTCACCATCTGTCGCCATCCATCAGTTGTCTCTAGTCTCGTATGCAGACTAGAAGCTCTTTGGAGTAGAGCCCCTGTACTCTCACCATCTGTCACCGTCCATCAGCTGTCTCTAGTCTCGTATGCAGACTAGAAGCTCTTTGGAGTAGAGCCCATCTCTTTGTTGTGTTTCTGTAAAGTGCCTAGCATGATAGGGTCCTGGTCTATGACTGGGGCTCCTAGCAACTACTGCATTACAAGTAACAGCAACATAGAAGCAGACCAAACACTGTAGAACCCACGGGGGTTTCGTTCATAGTTGTCAACATTTTCTCTCTCCCTGTACAGCACGGTGCTGCTGTGGGTTGTAATTCCCAGATGAAGAACCCCTGATCCGTCACGCCAATATTGAGAAATCAGTTTGACTCACCGAGGGCTCTTAGGGCTTGTTTACAAGGGGTTTAGTTCACACTCAACTGATGCACAGTAGCTGGTACTCTAATTGAGAGCACATTGTCATCATGTCCTCTTCCAAATCACATCATTGTGTATGCACAGCGGGAGTGAGATGCGTATGGCATTCTGGGAAGACAGCCCATGGTCCTTTGCATTGCTGAGTTGTGGGGCCTCTAGGAATACTCTCACGGGACAACTTCTGGGCCTTGGAAGTCAAATGCAAAAAGTTCCACTATTCCAATTCCTCCATCCCGCGCTTCCTCTCTTTCTGGGCAGGCAAGCACCATTTTTTAATTGCTGTCACCCAGCATGGACCTTCACTCTATGCTGGCAATTGTGAATTTGCCAAGACTGTTTGGGCTTTATTTGATCTCACATAGATATTAATAAGATTACCCAGCATGTCAAATATTTCTTCCCTTTTCATAATAACTTAATAAAACAGTTTGTAAAAGTGCTAAAATGGAGAAATATTCATTTATTCATTCATCGGAGAGGGAATACCAATTGTAAGACATCCTGCATTACATTCTCCCCTCTTTAAACACAATACAGTACACTGTTCTCCACAATAAGTTACATAAAGGCAAATTTTATGTACATGTAAAAAAGGATCAGTGAATAGAACTATTTTACACAGCTCATTTTGCATCCACAAGTCACATATTTTAATCTCTACTTGCCCTTCAGTGTCTGAAACTAAAAACAGATCCAGAATTAGCTGATTTAGTGAGTGGTTTTCAAATAATTTCTAAATATGTGGGGACTGCACATGCAAATCCCCCATTCTCCCCACTAAATTAGTGAGCTCAACATTCATCTGAAAACAAAGGATATTAAAAATGATGCATCTAGTCATACAATATGAAGCAACAGGAGACAAGTGACCCGCTTTTATTTAAACTGCTTGTCTTTGTATATCCTGAAATATGCAAAAGGAACTTTTTTTTGGCCTGTAGCTAGGATAAGCAAATGGTACATGTCCAGCTTATTTTTGCATTGATATAAAATATTAACTGTTCTAGAATTCCCCTTTAAGAGATTTTCATATGTCCCTTTTTCCTATAAATTCTTCAGTAATGGGAATTATATGGATGACTGTTAATAAAGTGAATTCCATTAGCAAATTATTGCTGTGAAATCAGCAACCTAATTAACATACTAACTAAACTCTTGTGTACATTTTCCAATGAGTTTCATGGTCATGTGTGTTTAATTTTTATCCTGGAATGTATAAGTATAGTATCTTTTAAAAATTACAGTGCAGTGAGCAAGACAGAGTGTAACAATACCTAGTCCACAAGACAGTATTGTCCACTTAATGCAATCCTTACTTACAATAATGCAAATATGAAAAAATTATCAACAGGAGGTGGAAAAGTATTAGGACATACATTCTGCTGCTATATTTTTCCATAAAGTTAATACTGTAGAAACTTTTATTGAAATATTGTTTTTCAAAAGTTCTTATATCAAGTGCCTGAATTGGTGAGATATGTAGGAAACACAATACCAAAGAAGTTATACTTTTCTTCACTGAAAGAGAGGCACTGAATTTGTAAGCTGAATTAAGGCTGTTGAATGATGCTGGTTCATTGTGAGTTTAAAGTCTTCAGTCTTGCATTAAGAGTCCTTTTAATCTATTGCTTCACTATTAGTCCTATAGGCCTGTTTACGGAGATGGGTCTCAATCTCCCCCCTGAAGACTAGCATTCCAAGGTGCGAGTGGGATGCTTCATTCATGGCTTTAGACTGGATACACATGCGGTATTGCTCTGGAGTCAGCTCGTCAGCACAATGCTTCTCATGCCAGAGGTGAAACAGGCCTGGGACTGGGGTCCGGATCACAATAAGGTCTCCATGCAAGTACTTCCTGTATAGGTGAACATCCTCTCCACCCCAGCCTTTCACTTCCAAGTCAAACCCCCCTATAGTAGCACAAATAGGCACATGAGAAAGTATTAGTTTTACAGAATGAAAAATGGGCTCTCACATAAACCCCCCCAAACAACATTCTACCATCTGCTGTAGATATTTACCACCTGAAATGTCACTTCATGACACTTTTACAGCAAATACCAACAGCACATGCCATAGTTGTGGAGTAACTCAAAACATGCCATGTGGCAGTGGAAATGCTTTCACCACTGAACGCAGATTCCTGGCATCACATAGATGACAGCAAGACTTCAAACTGGCATAATGTGGTCCATTCACATTGGCTACGTATGGACTGGCATGATTTTGCGGAAATACTTTTAACAGAAAAGTTTTTCTGTTAAAAGTATTTTCGCAAAAGAGCATCTAGATTGGCAAGGATGCTTTTGCGCAAAAGCATCCATCGCCAGTGTAGACGTGATTTTGCGCAAGAAAGCCCCAATCGCCATTTTAGCCATCAGGGCTTTTTTGCGCAAAACAATTCTTCCCTGTCTACACTGTCCCTCTTGCGCAAGTATTCTTGCGCAAGAAGGCTTATCCCTGAGTGGGAGCGGCAAAGTATTTGCGAAAGAAGCACTAAATTCTTACATTAGAACATCAGTGCTTTTGCGCAAATTCAAGCGGCCAGTGTAGACAGCTGGCAAGTTTTTGCACAAAAGCGTCCTCTTTTGCGCAAAATCTTGCCAGTCTAAACACACCCATTGTGTATAACATCTGGGATAGCTACTGCAGCTGTCCTCGTGAAAACTACTAAGGGGTTACCACTCTCTAACTTTTAGCAACTGCAAATAGGTGATCAAGCATCATGTGACCATCCAACTCTATGGACCTCAAACAAGTAACCAATGCACCAGTTTGAGAATCTCTTAATAAAAGAAATACATTCAGTCATGTTTCCAGCCAAAAGCACACTACTGAGCCAATATGCAGATGCGAAAAGCTAGAATTATATATTCTCTGTATCATCCAATACTCAACAAACATAAAGCAACAGCACTGCTATTAGAAATCAGTTTGGTTTAAAATTTGCATGTATCTATATCCAGGGCTCGCCAAGCCGCAGCAAGCCCCGCTCGCCAGCCCTGCTCACCAGCCATGGGCGAGGAGATTACATTAATTGTTGAGCCCTGTCTATAGCTATATAAATAGAGACATATAGATATAGATACACAGACGAAGCATGAGGCCAAGTACGAGATTTTCTTGGTGATTTACCGCAATCAATCAATCATGACTGACACTGAGACTACGTCTACACTATGACAGTTTTGCGGAAGAAGAAATGCAAATGAAGCGTTCATTTAAAAATCTCGCACTCTTATTTGCATATTCTCTTCCAATCCTTTTTGTGAAAGAGGTTTTTGCACACAAAAAAAAAGTGCGGTGTAGACGGGGACATTTTTAGGAAAAAAACTGTTTTGTGCAAGAAAAGCGTGGTGTAGACGGGGACATTTTTAGGAAAAAAACTGTTTTGTGCAAGATCCTGTAAACATCATTATTTTAGGAATGAGGGATCTTGTGCAAAAGGGTTTTTTCCAAAAAAAAAAAAAAAAAAAAAAAGGGCCCCATGTACACTGTGCTTTTTTCCACAAAACCTCTTCTGCAAAAAGGATTGGAAGAGAATATGCAAATGAGATTTGCATATGAGCACTTCATTTGCATTTCATTTTCCGCAAAACTGCCAGGCTATGTCTAGACTACATCCCTTTTTCGGAAAAGGGATGTAAATTAGACATACCGCAATTGCTAATGAAGCGGGGATTTAAATCTCCCATGCTTCATTAGCATAAAAATGGCTGCCGCTTTTTTTTGGCACGGAGCTTTGTCGGAGAAAAGCGCCAGTCTAGACTTTGATCTTTCGAAAAATAAAGCCTTTTCCGAAAGATCCCTTATCCCTTATTTCAAGAGGGATAAGGGATCTTTCGGCAAAGGCTTTATTTTTCGAAAGATCAGCGTCTAGACTGGCGCTTTTCTCCGACAAAGCTCCGTGCCGAAAAAAAGCGGCAGCCATTTTTATGCTAATGAAGCATGGGAGATTTAAATCCCTGCTTCATTAGCAATTGCGATACGTCTAATTTACATCCCTTTTCCAAAAAAGGAATGTAGTCTAGACGTAGCCCCATAGTGTAGATGTAGCCTAAGAGGAAAGCTATTTTCAAAATAAAATCATAAAACCTTGCTCAGTTCTAACACTGAGCCACAAGAGGGTGCCAGAGTATATATCACACTTTAAACAACAACAATATTAATGTCGCCATTTAATACTTATAAAAGTGCATATTAAGAGGAAATAATGGCTTTTTTAATAACAGATTAATAGGTACTACACATTTCAAATGCTTGGTGAATTGACTGTCAAAGTAACATGTTTGCAAGAAGTAAGATATTTTACTTCAATATCTTTAATGCTATTAGTGTAATGTTATTGACATTTATACATTGTTAAAACACTTGGGCTACGGCTATACTGTAGCCTTCTTCCTGAAAAGCTGATGCAAATGAAGCAAGGCAAGAAATATTGCCGTGCTTCATCTGCATAATTAATTAGCCACTGCTTTTGTGCAAGACGGGGGTTTTGTGCAAAAAGGAGCCATCTACACAGCTCCCTTTTGCGCAAAAGCCTCTTGCACAAAATCAGCCACTAATTAATTATGCAAATGAAGCATGGCAATATTCCACGCCACACTTCATTTGCATAAGTTTTTCCGGAAGAAGGCTACAGTGTAGCCGTAGCTTTGAATAACACCCTAAAACCAGTCAAAGCAGAAATTTTCCATTTCCTGAGCTCTCCAGTCAGTAAGAAATTAACGTTTTAATTCGTTGAAATTACAGAAGACCGTAGAGAGTAATAGATGAGCTTTTGAACTCCCCTCACCAAAATTAACAGAAAAACACATAAATCCATCTTACCTACTGTCAGGAAATCTGTCCTATATTGACAAGTCATTCCAAAGCCAAAATCTCGCCAAAAGCCAGAATCCTTCTTGTGTACCTACAATTTTAAAATGAAAATTTTAGTTTTTCCCCCCCGGTAAGACAGCTTGAAGCAAACTTTGTGGCTATATTTGATTTCAGGAGAATGTGTGTTTCTGATTATTTGCTTGACAGACTAGATAACTTTTGATATGTTTGTTTCATAGTGCATATACATACCGTTCCAATTATTGGTCATCTACCGCTAACATAAGGGCCTCAGAAGGAATGACAGTCTAATATTACATTTAGATTACCCAGAAATTAGTCTCTTTCCTGCCTTTACTCTCTCTCCCCCACTCCCACCCCCAATCTCCAGTCCAGCTTCCTATCTGTCTGCCAATGCTAAGGGGTCTAACTTTCATATTCATCTAGTCTCTTTAATTCCAACATGGTCTTCATTGGCACATTGGTCCCTTCCCTGGTCTCATGATACTTATGCAGAAATTCTGAAGTCTGACAACTAGGCAGATTTCTTGCAGTTTAAAGTCCATCTTTCTCTCAGCTAGAGCCCATCCTTCCTTAAAATAAAAAAATAAAAAAAAAAAGTATGACTACATCATTTCCCTTCTAAATGAGCATAGCCACCAATCTTTGTGGGCTCACTTTACAAAGTCTTCTTGTTGCTGCTTCTTTCCTATCTCATAAACCCACCTCCTTTACTCAGAGTCCCCATTATTCAACCCTTGTGTGTGCTTTGGTCATCTCTTATGTACGTTGCTCTCTGATGTCCAAGCTTACTGCTTCTCACTCTTTCTTTCCTCTCCCAGTCTGGCTAGAGTTCTGTTAACAAGCAGTTTTCCACTCAGGGCATGGTACCCGTTTTTCAAGTCTATCTACTGGCTTCGTACCTTAGCTCATCAGTCCAGGCCTTTTGTAGTGCACTGGAAGAAGTACATAAAGTACATCTACATTTTGGTCTTCCATGTATCAGTAGCCTCCCACTTTTGTTCTTTCACTCCAGTCTCCTTGGGCTTTACTTCTCCCAACCTGGACACTTTGTGCATCACATAAATTGGCCTTTACTCTGGAAACAGTTACCTAATCTCCATCCAACAGGCTCTGCTTTCCTTGCCTTCCCTAATAACTACAACACCTGTCTCCCAAATGATTGTCCTAGGTTTATTGTATTCAGACTGCAAGCTCTTAGGGGAGGCGGTATTTCCTGTTTGTAAGGCACAATGTAAATAAATGGCACTAAATACATGTTTCTAATGGGATGTTGGGTGTGTATATAGGGAGGGGGGTTAAAACTGCCCTTCACAGAAGGCAGCTAGAAGCCCAGTGCTTATGTCAATGTGTTAGGTATGGGTGGCAGACAGCACATGCAGTACGTCTTTCTCCTCTCCCCTGCTAAACTGCTAAGATAGACAGTACCATACATCTGATTACCATTCAGCAGTTAGCATTGTAGGCCCACTGCTGAGTGGAGCCCATGTGGCACCTTCCAAAGAAGAGGAGGAAGAGCTAGTCCTCAGTGTCCTTCTTTCATCTGCCCGACAACAGCGAGAGACTCCGCATGCTTCATTACTCCAGGAGATTACCTTCAGCAACTGCCATTTGGTGTAGTAGTTCTGTTCTCATTGTATTGTGGGCACTGTTTATGCTTGGTTGTACCAAACTCTGTGTAGAAAGATATATGTTTCCAGAACTCCTGGAGTTTTAGCACTTTCCATTACTATGTTTGTCTCCCAAGCTCTAATTCTTTTATGTCTAACCAATAAGGGAAAAAGTTCTATTTCTCATCATTGCCAATGTCTCTGGAAAGTATCTAGGATACCTTAGTTATCCTGCTACACTGAGCTGCCTCATTAAGATGTAGCACTACACTTCTTAAGAATCAAACCACTTACCAATTGGTGTTCCACGGGAGGTGGTACATCTTGGTTAGCGTAGACAATTGCAGGATTATAAAGGCTGAATACCACGGGATAGAAAACTTTCTTGCCTATGAAGTCAGAAGAACTTTGTTACATAGTGGGACATCTTTGTGAGAGGAAAAAGCAGCTGTGGAGTCTTCATTATAAAATCTATGTAATGAAAAAGGCATAGGCAGATGGCCCAGCTCCCATGATTTCCCTTTAGAGAGCCCACTAACATCTAGTAAGTGTGACATATAGAAAAGAAATGGTTTACAGTCTCCAATATGATGCTGTGCTAAGGTGGACATGGATCATAAGGCTTCCAGAGGTAGTAACAGAGTATGACTACTGAGAGGGACAGAGAGACCACCAAAATCAAACAGCAGTTTAAAAAGAAAGTTTAGGTAGGTGGAGTTTTAGAACCACCTCTTTGCTTGGTCAATATGGGTGGTTAATTCCTACTACAGCTCTTACAGTGTCAGTTATGTTAATTTTCGATATGCTGGGATACCAGTTTGCAGCTGACAGAACTCTTGCAGCTTTAGACAGGTCAGGGAGGTAGAGCAGGCTGTCCAGCATTCCACACTATGCCTGCCATAGAGTATTGGCTGGTACTGAGGAAAGCCACTGCATTATACTAGGAGTCTTCATGCACTGTTTCTCCACAGCCAGTGATCTAGGTTGGGAGAAGACCTCAAGTACTCATTACCTTGTGCAGGGCTCCTTTTCAGAGAGGCAGGTATTTGCCTAAGCTTTGCCTTCCCTGAAGGCTCAATTTAAGAGGGCCTTAAGACCAGGATCCAAAGCCATACTGAAGGCATGTGTGACCGTTACTGGTCCTCTGTCTCATCAAGACTCCACTTTCTTGAGCAGTATCCTTCCCTTCTCCCGGAACAGAGCAAAGCAGCAATGTGACTATATCCAGACTCCAGATGCCATGTGCAAAGAGCATCTTCCATTCCCATTCCCAGCAAATTTGACATGCCACTTCTATTAAGAGTAGAAATTAGCTCCAAGGCTGACTTTATGCTATGCTACTGTAAGCCATGCTAGTTCTGTAACAGCTCTCATGCTATTTAAATACTTGTATGGCCTTTCATCACCCTAGTATGCAAGTGCTGAGGCAAAGAGGAAAGAGAAAGTGAGCTCAAGCCAAATGTACTTTTCCTTAGGAGAAGTACCTTAGGGCATTCAAGGAATAAAAAAAAAAAAAAGTATTCGGCATGCATAAATGTGTAATGAGTAAAATTTCTTTTGTACCAGCCAGCTAGCTAGCTTGCAATTGGCTCACAGAAGCCTTGAACTTCTCTACAAGAGTTTGTAACAAACAGAGAAGTTTCATATGGTTGTGACAGCAGACACTGGAAGATTGAGTTTAAGTATGTGAGACATGAACTCCTAAATTATAACTGCAGCACATGCTTTGTGGCCTTAAGGCAAGTCACTTTACTGCCATGTTTTGGCAGGAAAGTTGTGATAATACTTATCCTGTATGAAGGCTGTGGGGACTAAATGCTGCAGATAAAATGTTTTACAATGCTTTATAAGATGTGGAGCTTAATATAAAGGCTCGGGTTTATAGCAAGCACTGATGGTTGAAAACATACAACAGTTATAGCTAAATTCAATTCCTTTTAGAACTGTTCTTGACTTTGTTGGACTCTTTTCAGAATGAGTATTTCCCATATGGTCTCTGCTCTGAGAGGACTTTTTATTTTTAAACCAATGTAGAAATGCTCCAACTGAAAGACTTTTTTAAACTTGGCTTTTTGTAGATTCTAGATAAAAACCTGTGTTTTTATTGTACACAAATTTTAGTTTATATTTTAAATTTGATGTTTCTAAGGATATGACAAGAACTCACATTTTAAGGTATAAGCACAGTTAGGATAAGGTTCCTGCTCTTAGCTTTCTATTGGAGTGCTAGATTTCTCAGCCTTAATATTGCACTCACACTAGTAATTTTGTGCACAGAATTATTTTTCCTTCCTAGAGCTATAGGCTATCAAAATTACTCCACTGTTAGCATTAGTCATCATCGGTGTTCTCATCAGGTGGTTGTGAGCCCAAATTCAGAAGGTAAAATTCCCCCCCTTCAGTGACTTAACAGACTTTTACCTGGTTCAGCATTCAAGCGGCAACTGTTAAGGAACTCAGCTGTGAAATAGATATCAACATCGCAGAAGAACATTAACACTTCGCCTTTCTCCCAGGCTCTGGCACCCATGTCTAGTCCTCGTCCACGATTAAATTCCTCGTTCAAAGACACCAGTGTGTAATTGTGAAAATTAGTTTCTCTAAAGAAAAAAAAGTGAAAATGTAAATACAGGGGTGTGGCTAAAAGGACATTTATGGTGCTATAAATTAGTTCTGGACAGTTATTTAAAACATCTAATGATCTCAGCCTTACTGTTTCTCTAATTCATCTTTGGGGAAAACATGCCTGCAGTATTAAGCATTCATGATGTTTAATAATGCAGCCTACAAGTTGCAGAGACACAGATCTGATCCTTGCCACCATTATCCATGCAGTAACATTTCAAATGGAAACTCTGAGCTACTCATCCTGCTGTAATTCCAGAAGCAGCTATGGATAGAAAGGCACTTGTAAGTTGTCACAAACTGAGCATTCTGGAGGTGGGATTCAGTGGCAACACCACACTGGGAAATCAAAGGTACAGCACTGACTGCCACAAGCGAGGCAATAAGCTGCAAAACATCCATATCTTAATGCCATCACTGACCACCAGCCTCACTCCCACATTGCGCAGAGGGAATGCTGGAAAACATCCACGCAGAAGCACACAAGAAACATATCCCAGGGGAAAATGAGCAAATGCTGCCAAGCTCTATCTGGAATCTCTCAAAGTATATGTTGGAAACATCTGTGAACAATATTGTCTAACCTAGAAAGGGACTCGCTGAGTCAACAAAACCTAGTCTGAAACAGATCACTCATCTGTGAAGAAAGTGGAGGGGCCTCAACGAAGGAAAAACTGAGTTTCCAGACAGTCATCAACACTGATGGCCCCATGACACAAATTCTGCTGTGAAGCTTTGAAGGTGAAGCAATGGAGGAAAACAAACACTGATCAGCTTCTCGTGCATCAAGTATGGTGCCACTTCAAGGCATCTGCACTATACCTCTGCTCAATAGGTTTCATCATTTGTTTACAAAGTGGTCTGTGGAAAGTTATGCGCAAGTAGGGGACAAACTGGGGTCATCATATTAATGGATGGGAACAAAAGATGAACTGCTCAGGTGAACAGATTCAGTACCCCTCTGGCAGCCATTTCTACTCACTATCATTAAATGAAATCAGTTACCATTATTTGGACACACAAGTAGCATATTGATCCATAATTCTACCTTTTTACAATTTAATTTTCCAGTCAGACCTCTCAGCTATGCCTTAAGCATATTCAAGTCATCACCCCACAAAAATATTGTCACTAGACACTAACAACAACAAAGAATGCCAAGAAGAATCACACGTATGAACATACTGTAAGAAAATAAAAAATATCATTTCAGCTGGGACTGACTCATGAAATTCTTCTTCACTATTATTTTTGATTTTTTTTAAACTGTGCAATATACCTCACTTATATTTCAGAAACTTCTATTTGGACTCGCTCACTTACCGGGCAACGGACTCTAGGATACTCCTGACTTCAGATAGCCCGTCCTGGCCAAAGTATACCACTGTTAAGTGAATCCGCTTGTCCTGATGAATACACACATCCCTATAATAAAGATGAGTTAATGAGTTAATATTCATTGTTATATTTTAGCAATGGTCCTCTCTTGTTGCTAAATTCAGAACATTTAAGTGTAGGAAAATAATTTGCCTATACAAACTTTTTGACTAACTACTCTACATAAAGCAATCTTGTGTCACATGCAGCTAGTGTATATGGCATATTGCTTTATAAATCACCTCTTGTTAACTAAAACCCAATTCTGAGAAGTTATTCACTGCTGTTATTCACTAACGTGAAATGTTTACATTAACCACGCTGCAAAAATGTTTTAAAGACTTCAAAGTAATTTGCAGCTTTTATAATTAGATAGAAATGAATTTTCCTGAGCCACATCTTTCAGATTCAAAGAGGTCTTCCAACATCTGCATCTTATTCCTGGTGGCTCTAAAGCTAACAGTACTAGAGATATAATAAGATAACTGTTTACACAGTTAACCAATAAACTTGGTCTATCAGGGGGGCTACGTCTACACTGGCCCCTTTTCCGAAAGGGGCATGCTAATTTTAAACTTCAGAATAGGGAAATCCACGGGGGATTTAAATATCCCCCGCGGGATTTAAATAAAGATGTCCGCTGCTTTTTTCCGGCTTGTAGATAAGCCGGAAAAGAGCGTCTAGACTGGCCCGATCCTCCGGAATAAAGCCCTATTCCGGAGGATCTCTTATTCCTACTTCAAAGATGTGGCTCAGGAAAATTCATTTCTATCTAATTATAAAAGCTGCAAATTACTTTGAAGTCTTTAAAACATTTTTGCAGCGTGGCTTCTAATCCGAACTAGCCAGTCCATGCCGCGTGTAGCCGCGCGGCACGGGGTCCGAACTAGCCGGCATTCAAAAATGGCGCCGGCCGGCTTCATGCAAATGAAGCCTGGGAAATTCAAATCCCGGGCTTCATTTGCAAGTGCGGATGACTACTCTGGACTCTGTATTAGAGACAGTGGTGCGGGACAGCAGGTGGGAATTGCTATGCACCAGGAGCTGGTTTAAAAGCCACCCCACACTGCTGCCTCTGGGGCGGTTACATGGTTACCCAATTACCAGCTTTTTAACATCCCTATACAGTACACTGACCAAGATTATCATGTCATTAAGCCTCTGATCTCCAGTGGCCCAGCCGTTCTTTAACTACTCTGAAATCCCAGCTGTTCAAGTATTTGGTTCATGTGTTATTGTAAGGAAAATATACACAGTTCAATCTAGAATAGGAAGCACTTACCTAAAATTTTGCATAAACTGTGCAAATGCCTCAGTTCTTCCAGCAAGAGGGACAATAATATTAATCACTGATCTGGAAATGTCAACTGTTTCACTCTTGACTTTCATGAGGGGTCCAAATGGTCGGAATAGCGTGACATGTCTGTATTCCATAACGTCTGTCTTCTTATAATACAATTCATACTGCGTTCCCTTATCTCTCTCTGTACGATAATAACCTGAAGTCATAGAAGGAATTTATAAAGTCAAAAACATGACATTCAGTGAGATGTAAGCTACAGATGCACCACTTGATTTTTATCCAATTATAAAACAGTATAAAAAATAAGCTAGTGGAAAGTGCTTTTTGCTTATTCAGAAAAAAGAAAGCTTTAGGGTTTTCAGCCAAAAGAAACAAAACAATTCTAAGAAAGCCTAAAAAAAAATGTATCAAAACCAGATATTTCCCAAAGAAACGTCTGTTTTGACAAAAAAAAAAGCCACTCTTACTGGAAGAATGGGTATTTCAAACATAAAATTTTGACCAGCTCTACTTAAAAAAAAAAAAAAAAAAAAAAAAAGCAAACAACTATTTGGAGGTACCAAATCAACTGATGTTTTGGAATCACTGCTGTGGTCATTATGAATAAGGCCGACTATAACCAGGAGGCAACCAGACAACTCTCGAACACCACATTTTACAAACCTCTCCCCTCTGACCCCACCTTGGAATACCAAAAGAAACTACACTGTCTCCTTAAAAGCCTCCCCACAGCTACTCGGGAACAAATCCACACAGAATCACCTTCTGACCCCCGACCAGGATTGTTCTATCTACTTCCCAAGATCCATAAACCTGGGCACCCCGGACGTCCCATCATCTCTGGTATTGGCACGCTCACTACTGGTCTATCCAGCTATGTAGACACTCTTCTCAAACCCTTCGTAACCAATACCCCCAGCTATCTCCGAGACACTACTGACTTCCTAAGGAAACTACAAAACATCGATAACCTCCCCAATAATACCATCCTTGCCACCATGGATGTAGAAGCTCTATATACCAACATCCCACATGAAGACGGATTACAAGCAATTAGAAACACTATCCCAGAGGACACTACTGCCAACCTGATAGCAGACCTATGTAACTTTGTTCTCACCCACAATTATTTCCAGTTTGAGAACAACTTATACCTCCAGATCAGCGGCACAGCCATGGGTACACGCATGGCCCCACAGTATGCTAACATCTTTATGGCTGACCTAGAACAACGTTTCCTCAACTCCCGTCCCCTTTCACCCCTCCTCTACCTACGGTACATCGATGACATCTTTATGATCTGGACACATGGCCAAGAAACACTGGAGATATTCCACAGAGATTTCAACAACCTACACCCCACCATCAACCTCAGCCTGGACCATTCTACACGAGAGATCCACTTCCTGGACACCACCGTACAAATCAACAATGGAAAATTAGACACCACTCTCTACAGAAAACCCACTGACTCATACAGTTACCTACATGCATCCAGCTCCCATCCAGAACACACCACACGATCCATCGTCTATAGCCAAGCCCTTCGATACAACCGCATCTGCTCTAACCCCACTGACAGAGACCAGAAGCTTCAGGATCTCTACCAAGCATTTATAAATCTCAACTACCCACCCAGAGAAACAAAAAAGCAAATTGAAAGAGCCAGACGAATACCTAGAAACCATCTACTTCAAGACAGACCCAAGAAAACCAACAATAGAACACCACTTGTCATCACCTACAACCCCCAACTTAAACCTGTCCAACACATTATCAATAAACTACAGCCTATATTGGAACAGGATACCATACTCAAAGAGGCTCTGGGAGACAGACCCATAGTCTCCTATAGACAACCACCTAACCTCAAGATGATTCTTACCAACCACCACAGGACATACCACACTAATACCAACCCTGGTACCTTCCCTTGCAACAAACCCCGTTGCCAGCTTTGTCCACATATTCATTCTGCTGATACCATTATTGGACCTAACCAAGTGAGTTATAAGATCAAGAACACATATTCCTGCGCATCCAGAAATATAATCTACGCTATCATGTGCCGAAAGTGTCCGTCTGCTATGTACATTGGACAAACATCTCAGACACTTCGCCAAAGGATTAATGCCCACAAAACAGATATCAGACAAGATCACAAAGAGAAAACAGTTTCTTGCCACTTTAACCAGAAAGGACACTCTCTAAATGACTTAGCCACCTGCATTCTGCTACAAAGACCTTTTACATCTGCACTTGAAAGGGAATCCTCTGAACTGTCATTCATGTTAAAATTCGACACTTACCAACAAGGACTTAACAAGTCTTTGAACTTTCTCACCCATTACCAAGACAGTTTCCCCAATTATCACCTGTAATACCATTAACTCACAAACATCCCACTCTCCCTACCTTTAATATCAGCAATTCACAGACACTTACCTTCCTTCCTCCCCCTTCCCACCCCCCCGCATCCCCCTTCTGTTCTGCAATGTGATTTGTCCTTTTCATATTTGTTCATTTTTTTAAATTGTATCCTTTGGTATATATGGTTGTGACTACTTTCTTCCACTATTTGATCTGAGGAAGTGGGTCTGGCCGTATGTAATGCCTATGAGAAACAGTTAAACTATAATGGTTGAAAACAACAGCTTAGTTCAGCCAGAAGAGACCACAGGACCTCCGAATTTTTATTAAGAGTAATGAGGAAGTAAAGGACACTGGCAGGATGACTAAAGGAAAGGAGGATACTGAAGTCAGAACTACTAACATCCAGGGTGGAAACTAAACTCAATCAGCTTAACAGGAACAAATTGGAGCAGAGGACAATCTTCATGAACATTAAAGAAACTGACACATGAAGCAAGGATTTTTAATGAGTCTGTACACCAGGAGGGTCATGCTATGATTGGAGGATTCCAAATTCAGTACTTAAATATAAGAAAGGGAATAAAATAATCAGGGGATCTAAACACCCACTAGTTTGAGCTCAATTACATGCAAGATTTTACAACAAGTTTTAAAAGAGTAATTAAAGAAAGAGGTAAGAATTAAGAGGGTTTCTGGTCTGCCAGCACATGTTTAAGTAATACAGGATGGTCTTTAATAATGTTAAAGTTGTATCTTGAGCTGCCATGAACTCGCCATTGTGTTGTCTGATAAGTAGGGGTGTAAACTTTGCCCTAAGCAGCCTACCTATCTGAAGAAAAAATGCAAGTGAGCCTCTGAGTGGTCACCCTTTAGTAGCTTACATGTAAGGACTGTCAAGAAACAATACTGGCGCAAGTAGCCTCAGTAATTCTAACACACTGTCTGGGGTGGACCAGAACTAGTTCCAACAGGGTTGGTCAGACACCAAAGTCTTACAGACACAGGAGGATTTGAACTTTCTAAGACTGTCAGTTCTTTTCCTGTAACTAAAAAGAACACCTGCTTAACTTAACTTGTAGTGAAGTCTCAGATACAATGAGACTAAAATTCTCTTAATTCTTTATTCCAACTGCTAAACACTTCAAGAAGGCTGTGTGTCCATCTCCGTTGTCATAGATTCCAAAACGGGATGGGCAGGTGTCTGAAACCCAGGAGACCTGCTGGATAATAAGTGCTTGAAAAATGGTCTCTGTTCAAAAGTTCCTAAACAGGATGTACTAGGGATGTTCAAAATGTGTTTATTCAGGTAAACATGTAACTGCCAAAAGGCTGGCATGTCCAGAAAAGGGCATTAACACCCCCCAATGCATCACAGCAGCAATAAAAACCAACTAGTCGTCCAATTTGAAGATCAGGAAATATATACGCTTTTGACAGACAAAACTACAGTGCAAAGAATCTGCATGTTCATCTCTGCAGACTACTTTCAGTAGAATAGACTAGTGAAGGTGAGGAGCAGAGCGCGGAAAACAAAATATTTTTAGAATGGAGGTATGCCAATGATGATACTCAAATGCATCCTAAAGGATCAGAGAAGAACAAAGGTAAAGCTAGTTACTCATATATATGGTGGTGACAAAAGAATTGCTGATGTACAACTTTATTTTAAATCCTTTTTTTCAAATCCAAACAGACAAGTCAGTAAGTTGCACTTGTGATACCTAGCATTTTTCTGAAAATAGCAGGTTTTACCAGTTTTGTGCCATTAAACAAACCTGTACATCCCACTCTCAAATGCACTGCAGTTAGAGCTTTGTTCTTGGGATGAACAGAAGGAAAATTCTTCAGTTTCAAAACTATGCAAAAGCTACAATGCTTCACTGAATTCTACACCATTACATTTTCTGATTTTTCTCAAGAGCAAGAGGGAGAGGCAGAGAAGAATTAAGGATGAAGCAATCTAAAAAAATCAAAATCAAATAGAGAAAAAAAGACACTCCTTCCCAAAAGCTTAAACAACCTCCTGCTTCAGTTTCAGTTGTAAAAACTTTCTATCCTCGAATATACGGTTAATTGGTTATGTATCTCTGAAAGATGGAATATACTAGATCAAATAAGATTAATACAGCACTTCTGTAAATAGCTTGATCACAACAGCATAATCAAATACAAAACTATGATTGCATATTAGATCTCACATATCAGTATGTCACTTGCAAAACACACTGTATTCGGTCTCTACAGAGAAGGAAAAGCTATGTTTACGTGCAACACAGGAACATTTTGAAAAATTAGCAGCTATAAACTCCTTTACAACCATGAATTAATCTCCCTCCTTCCTGCCCTCCCCACAAAACCCATCATTTTGTATTTACTGCTGCTTAAGTAGTTTACTGGTTAAGAAAGAAGTTGGTGAACCAGAATAAGCGATCATATTTTCTATAGGTTCTCACATCATATTCTGCCAATAGTTCACACCCCCGTTCTTAAATATTATTTTGTATGCCACCTAAAAACTAGAATCCCCAGCTTTTAAAATTGTACACAGTATGGCTGTAGAGGCCAAGGCAAATTTTGGATTTGAAAAGCAAAAGCCTAAGACTAGGTCTGCACTAGCAAATACAAAGCACTGGCAATTACAGCACTGCTCACAGAGTGTTGCAGGGAAACCACTATTGTGTGTCAAAACTGTGCTCCTTATGATGGTGGAGCATGTCCACATTAGCAGCACTTTCAGTGCCACAAATAGCAGTGCATTGTGGTAGCTGTAGGAAGTAGGTATGTTAGATAGCAGGTAATGGAAAAGTCGACTAACTGGAAGGA